TATATATATATATATATATATATATATATATTTCTTATATAACTAACTCATGTCAAAATCACTTCTCTCCTTCCCTTGCCAACTTAGCACCATTATTACCCTTCTTGAAACATTTTCTATAATAACATTTCAAACTTTGGGTCTGTGCTCACTATTTGTCACCAACTGGCCCATTTCCTCCTCACTTAAGAATTTAGAAAGGATCGTAAAAATGTGTAACCAATTTTGGATTAATCTTTTTAGCAAAGGATTGCTACCTAGGAGGCCTTAACTTGAGAAAAACCCATTCTCCAATGTGAAAATTTATTGCATGTCTCTTTTTATCTACATACTCCTTCATGCGGATTTGAGCCTTAATCAATTGGAGTTTGACATGTGCAGTAGCTTCATCTCTTTCACTTAATTCAAGAGCCACAACAACGACTTTGTTTTAATTACTGAGAAATCTGGTTAGATTTGGTGGTATTGCCTTCCATACATTACCTCGAAATGGGTTTGACTAGTTGAGATATGGAAAGTGGTGTTGTACCAATACTCAGCCCAATGGACCCAACGAACCCAATATTTTGGTTGTTATGAGGCAAAACAACGCAAATATCCCTCCAAACACTTGTTTACGACTTCTATTTACTCATATTGAGTTGTGTGCCTTGCAGCCTAAAAGTTTCTTTCCAGAAGTTACTTACAAGTTACAAATAACAGGTCTCAGTCATTGACGATGGTCCTAGGAACTCCATGTTGAATCTTGCAATCAAAGTCAATTGCTACTTCTATAATAGAGTTATGACCTCATACTAATTTTGGAATAGTTTGGTAATATTATTTTATATTTTGAGAAGTGATTTTGTTTCTGCATAAATTACCGACATCAAAACTCAATGGTTTTTTAAGACTATCACTTATTCATCAAACCACATATCCTAAAAAATATTACAACTCTAAGACATAGTATATTAAAAAAATACGCATAAATATACCCGTGCATTGGTCCCGACTCTAGTGTGTGTATATATACCCCTGCCTAATTTGATGATCACATACAATACTAGGTTTCAACCGTGTATGTCAAGGGCAACCGAACTGAACTTCAAAGATAAAATTAAATTTAAAATTCCAAGGAAAACTTCCGATGGAAAAAGGATGAAAAGCTAGCATAACTGTATTTTGTTATGAAAGCCGAATTGATGCAGTTGGCATGAATCATAAATATACCAGCCTCGTACTTTTATTGCAGGAAGCAGAAGTCGTCACAAAAGCTTTCACATGGACATGAAATACAAGAAAATAAACTGCCCATGAAGATGAAGGGCATGCATGGGACCCACAAGAACCAAACACTGGTCGTGTCAGTCTGAAATTTGAGGTGGGGAAGGGCTTTGTTTATTTTCAACGGATATTTCAGCCTCTAAGTCATCCATAGCCTTTGGTGTCAATGCCCTTTCAATTTTCAGGCCCGTGCCATTAACCACCATCTCTTTTTCTAGGTGAAAGCAGTAGTTCTCAAAAGCCCGAGAGCTTACCACAACTCTAAAATCCAACAGAAAGAGTAACTCTAACTCAAGCTTGTTGAGTTCAGCATTGCTCACTCCTCCTACTCGAGCATATACGGCGTTGTTATAATGTCTACAACTCAGAAAAGCAAAGAATGAAGCACTATAATAGACAACCAGAATAGAGACAATACAACTATAGTTAGTTTAATTGAAGGATTCATAAAGGTATAAGCTATAAGAACCATATAAAATTAGCTAAACTAAAACAAATCTACACTTCATTCTGTTGTGTTGCACAACGTAATAGTAGCATGCATAACATAAATGGCACTTTGAATAAAATAGTTGAAGAAAATTAGCACATGGATAGCATGAGTATAACCAAATATGTCACTAGAGAGAAATGGGGCAGCGACTCACTCATCATCCAGCATCTTGGAAGCGACCATGACACTGGTAACTAGCAACCTGTGCACATTCAAGGATGTGACAAGAGAATCAGGGTGTCTGTGTGTTAACCTGTCTATATACACATAGCCAACCACGAAACACGAGGGGCTACAATTAGTGTACTTGTATATCCTCTCCAAGTACTTAGGTATGCTTATGCTTGGGGCTCTTACTCCATGGAATGTATTCAAGCTGTTCCCAAGTCTTACTGAGCCACAGTTCAGTCCATCTAGCTGCTGGTTCATGATATCCACGAGCTTTTCATTGCGAGCCACCAGCTTCTCTAACGTGGAAGACAGGACGCTGAGCACTCGGGGCAAGTTCAGCTCGACCGGGCTTGTTTCCGGCTGCAGATGCCGGCTGTGGTTGCTGTACTCACCTGCTGTTAACATTTAAGCCATCTTGGCGGTTTCAGCAGAGGGAGTGGCGTCTGGAGATGCTCATGGTTGCAATTTCAGGGGTTAAGGACTAAGAAGGTCGTTAACTGCAAATTTGCTTGTTATCTAGTTTGGCAGAACCACTCACTGTATGGCTGACGTGTGTGGCTCTGCCACAAACGAAGTTTTAAGATAGCGATTGAAAGTTTGGGATCCTTTTCCTATTAAATCTCGAGCCACTAATATTCTTTATCAGGGGTCCCCACCCTTGTGTAGCTTGTCTTGGGAAAAAAACAAGTCACGCCCTAGAATACAGTCTGGCAACATAAACTTCGTTCGGTTGGTTCATGTGTAAACAAAACTGGAGGCCTATCTTCGTACACCGCAAATGTTAGGCCCCCATGGAAGAACTTTTAGAAGCATAAATGTCGAAGCAGTGACTGAATAGTGTTACGTCAGCTACTTCATAATAGTAAAATGATGGCTACTGGCCAAAAGGCACAGGCAAAATCATGTTTTGCTAGTGATGGCTTGTAGTGGTAAAGGATGCATGATGCAGCCATGTTACAATCCAGGGAGACTAGTAATACTATTATATTTAAGCCTTGTTGCCGTTTTACGATATCAGATTTTCTTTTTCATCCTAATGAACACGAGATATTGTGGGTACAACTGGTCCATGCATAAACGATGCTATTAAACAGAAGGCTTGCTATACATGATAAAATTGTTATAGAATGGAACAAGATACTACTGAAGAGCCCAGTAAGAATAAACTGTTTTTTTTCTTCTTTTTCTTTTTGTGAATAAAGAATGACATGTATAATCGAGGGGTAGCCAAGCCAATGGAATCATAAAACGGAATGGAGATCCCCTATCGTCAAAATATTTGAAATATACCTTGTATGATACTGCCAGAGCATCATACTGTTATCTAGCCTATACACTGTAGTTAACGGGGATGAAGTAATTTCTCTTCATCGTTCGAGATTTCTTTGACTGGGAGATGCGAATGTGATTTGGAATTCATCTTGTTCCACTCATTTTCAACACGGAAAAAGATCCATTGGAAGCGTCGGAAAATCTCCAAAGCAGCAATTGCGAACACCGTGAGGTAATTATGACGAAGATGGGCAGACAGCTTATATGTCCATGTGCAACGCAAAACCAGATTGCTTCCAATCACCCAGAGGTAAACCTGTATGTATAAACTACTTCAGCACACTGAGAAAACAATCTGTTCTTTTATTTCAGTTCACTGTTATTTTCTTCTTTTACCATGTGGGTTTTCACAAATACAGTAAACCAGTTAGAATCACATTAATAAGATTATACGCATATGAATAGTTACAATGAGTGGTTGAAAAGATTTTGCCTTCATTAACGGATTGCTTATGGCCTATTCAAAAACTTTAAAATTGCAAAATCATTTTTACCTTCTAACCTTCATGTTTTATATTATATATACTTGGCCTCCACACAAATTTTTTTTCTTGAAAGCCCCCAGTCCCATAAATGTTTATAATTTAGTATCATCAAAACGGTTTTTATAACTTCATTCCCACAGTTTACCTTGAAAAATTAATATATTCTGAGGGAAAAGAACTAATCAACACAAGCTATCCTCATATAACAAGACTTACCCATCTCCTTCCATACAACATTTGTGAGAATAGATGTGGCTTGTTGAACTTGAATATTCGAGTGAAGCCACTGGCAAAAGATAAAAAGGCAATAATTAGATCATGGTATGTTAAGAGACACTCATCAGATCCAAAAATACTAGCCTCAGTTCAGGAAATAAATATAATCTCTTCCACTTTTAAAGGTGTTTGGCTAAGATGAAAAATCATTACTGACAGTAGAATCTACATCTCTACAGTTAGAAAGAAGCTTAGCTCAAAAGATACTATTAAAAATGCAAGGTAGAACAAACACGAGGCAACCTTAGGTCCCAATCTCGAGACACATCCCAGTAGAAAGAGTATGATGAGTTCACGACACCTGACAGAAGCCAGAGAGGCCTATAAAAGTTTGTCCACCTATCAGGGAAGACGTGATATTTAAGTGCAGAAAGAAAAATCACAGGCACTGCGGTTGAATATTTTAAAGCTGAAACCATAACCAAGAGAAATGAACATCAGTAAATAGCAATAAAACCATTTGTTTGAAAAATTATGAAAAGTCGTTCATTAATAACTAGGTAATTTAATCAATTAATCTTTAATGAAAGAAAATATAAAACCAGGAGCAAAGATACAAACAGAAGAATATGATTATAAAAAAATTAGCCTAAAAAATTGAACATGACTTCCCAAATTTTTGACATAATTGCATTCCCAATATCACATAAAATCGTGAAATTTGAATTATAAAACATAACCATGTAATAATGAGAAGTCGTAAAATTTCCTCTTACAGCTCGATAAAGAAGCAAAATACTGAGTAGTTAGTCCTTAACATGATTTTGTGTTTCCCTTTTTTTATAAGAATAGTACAATTTCCAGACATCTTCACAAATTTTATATCCAGTCACACATCATGAAAACTCGGCACAAATGTCCTGTTTCATCTTATGAGTTACAAGCAATAACCTATACTCAATAATGAGAATCTATTCTATATATCATATTTAGTTTAAAAAAAAAAAAAAAAAGATCATGATGTGTAAAAGATCATTCCAGTCTAGGTAAAAAAAAAAAAAAGCTTAAAAACCTTAAAACATATAACATCACATGCCAATGATACAAAAGGAGGAGATATAAAAACAATATGTTAAGAAAATTTCCACCAACAAAATATTCTCAGGAATGCTGACATAGTGACATTGCATTTAAGTCACTATAAAATGGTTGTAATAAGAGATGGAGTCCCAAATACTTGGAAGCAAAACATGCAAAATTAATGGAAACATGCAGTAGATTCTTAAATTGTGTATACCAAACATAATTTTGTGATAAATACCAAAGAGACCAAACAAAACTCAACATATCATTTTCATAAACCAGCAAAAATTTAGATGATCTAATACAAGTTCTAAAATGGAAACCAAAAAAATGCATTAGTTAGAGCAACATAGAGTCCTTACCATTCAGAAGAGAAGTTTTCTCTCCAGTATCTTTGTACTGCCGGAGGCATTGATTTAATCGAAAAAGATAGGGCAAAACAAGAACCAAAGGGATTGCAACAGAGTGACTGCCACAAACAGAATCAGCTTCCAACCAAGCAATTGTGGCAACCTACAAAAAGTTTAAGAAATGCATCCCCTAATCTGAGAAATGATTATGAAGCATCCACTGTAAAGCATAAACTAAATATACAAGTCCTAGAAACCTATTTATAAGAAAATAGGCTCTACAGGAGCCAAGAACAGTAAGAACGATCAAAATTGTAATTAAGTAACAAATCTCAATATTACATAAGAAAATGAACTGTTTTAGTTCTAGAAAATATATTGAATGAAATCAAGAAAACTTGTTCCATGATCCCAATGCCAAACAAAAGAAATTCATCATAAACTTGAATTTGACCAAATTCTGTCATAATAAAAATAGGATTTATCAAAAAGTAAATTAAAATATAAACTCTCAATGACAATAGAAGCCATTAACAGCAAGTTATCAGAATCAAACCTGTCGATGGACCATTCTACATACAGAACGCTCCAAATCAGAAAAGACCTGCACAAAATTACAACCATAATCAAAATAAAATAGTAATGCATTAAATGCAGCTTAGAAACTAAAATTTAGATCAACAGATGATGTCAATTCTAAAGTCTCAGGTTGTCAGTGTTGGACCTCTATCTGTAATAATAAACATTAGTAAATGCAAGCAAAAGTATATAGCTCGATATCTCTAAACAAACACATACCTAGGCTCAAAACTGAGTAAATAGATATTAATAATAAATTAACATGGAAAAGGAGAACAAAAGCTTTTCTAGTTAAGATAATATTGAAAATGAAGCAGACCTTTGCCATCGAAGTTAAGATATCAGCCAAGAAAAAATCAGCAAATGATATTGCCTGTTTTAATGAAAATTGAAAAATATTAGATCATATTCAAGCATAGTTCCGATAGGATACCAAAAGCAGCAATCTGTAAGGGACAGAGTAAATCAAGGGCAAGGTTTAGGGTCAAATATAAAATCTTAATCATCTGAATAAAAAAATAAAAAAATAAAAGAATAATTTTCTTCTAAGCATCTAAGTTTAACATAGCAACAGTTCTCATGTATCTTCAAGGAAAGATCTTAGGAAGGTTCAACATGATGCCTCTTCAAGGGTTTTACTTATGCACATAATAGTATATGTTGTGTGTGTTAACCATATCATTGATTGATGCATCTATCATGAAAAAAGCTGTGATAAGGTTATTAATTGTTAATTTGTTATAAATGACTTATTATTTATGATGCACAGTCTTGCCAACTTTTCTTCTCACTTCATTTGGAACATGTATGTGAGCATCACATCTAGTACACTAACACTTGCATTTTTTCTAATGGCCGCCAAACAGGAGGGGGTGTCATATGAATACTTCTGTAATTTTTATGAAACTGAATGCAGAGAAGCAAGGGAATAAGTCATATATGATTTGCATTCTATGTCCAAGCTTTTATATCTGTCTGCTTATGATGTTATGCATACCATATAAATATAAGCCAGATGTTACAATAGTGTCAACTATTTCTGGAGTAATACCATAAGAACTTACTAACACAATACATCCAAATAAGGGTAAACTTGCCTGTAATGGGAAAAGTATTCGCCAGAGTGTCTTTAAGAAGTAATATCTAGATGAAAAATAAAAGATATCAAAGGGGAATATCAAAACCATTACAGCAGCAGCGTATAAGAGCACCTGCAGAATAGTACAAGGAAAATTAAAAAAAAAAACATTTCCGACAAGATAAAAAAGTAAGCACAAAATAGAATTAAATGTTCATCAATCATATATAAAGCAATGAACAAAAATATGTATTTACAAGTTATTTCCTGTATGAACTATGAAGATTAACCTGAAAGGTATACTGAGCTACTGAGTACATTTTTCATTGCTGATATAAATAATTGTAACTTGCCATATTGTAAATATCTTATTTACATTCTGAGTTTTTGACACCACACACTGACAGCTTGGGTGATTCAAACAAGCACAAAATATCTATTTATCTATTTATCAATACAGACTTTAAATAAATAAAAAAATTTAATTAAGTAACCATCAGGAAGATATTTAAATCAAAAAATAAAAATCCAACGTGATGCTAAAAAAATAAGAGATGTAATGGAGCTATTAATACCATGACCAGAAATAAACCCCATCCCAGTTGAGGTAAATCTTTTTACATGCAACATTATCTATGCTACACAATAATTTCTTTGTTTCTCTTTCTCTTCACTAAAATATGGTTCCCATCACAGTTTAATGATATTACCTTATCAATAAAGGATTGAACAAACCATGTGCAGATCATTCTTGGAACTGCATCCCAGTAACATGAGTAGTACTCATTTTGCTAAAGATATTTTGTGGCCAATGTGCAGGGTCCCTTAGATTAGTTCATAAACTTATTGTTTAATGAAGGCATAAAAAATTGCAATAAAATAAGGTGCTTTTAAGGAATGAAATATTACAATACAAAGTGAGTTCGGTTCATCTTATTTTAAAGAAATAATAGTTTATTTTTGCTAGATTTCTGAGAGAGCTTTTGAAACATTATTTACCAAATCTAAGCATTACCAAGCATGCACTAAATTGAAAAAAGTGATAAACAAGCAAACAAGAATAATAACTAATAAGAGTGGATGCATCTATTACACTGGTTGTGATGCAGCATATGATACTTCTCCATGAGAATAGAGATAAATATATGCTGTCATGCTGGTTGGGACAATAATTGTCATCCATGTAGCACACTGCAATAATCAACAGAAAAATTAGAAAATTGCTCCAGTCAATCACTTGAGACGAATTATTGATTAGATTTAGAGGGAACAAATAAGTGGTGTAAAATAAGAAAAATGAAATATTGGAGGAATGGGTGACAACATAGCCATGGACTATGGAGATTTCCCAATTTAGCAATATAATAACAGCAACTGAAGGCAAAAGCACCCAAACTAACATAAGGATTATACAGTAATAAAAAAATTATTTAGAGCATATTTAGTACACAGATTGATCATTCCATTCCCCTATAACTATTCTACATGAATGAGGATTCCTTAGTTTGGTAATAAAAAAGAATGGAATAATGATTACAATATATAAGGAATCCTTATTCCTCCTAGAGATGTCAAAATTGTCATTCTTAGCAAACTGGAAAAATTCATTGTTTTTTTTGTTCCTATCTTATCTATAGGACATAGGAGTGGATAAGCTTATTAATTATACTTTTTCAATGCTTATTTCATGTACTAAGCATGCAAACAGAATGGATGAGAATGAAAGTACAAGTCCAATCTTGAGCAAACCAAATATTAGAATAGAAAGGTTGGTCTATTCCCAAGTCATAGCACTACCATTTTATTCCCCTTGGATCTGGCAAAAGCTGATTTTATGTGCCAAACAAGACATAAGTCAAAGTGGGGAGTCGATACCTTCCATATTTCTCTGTGAGTCAGATGATTTTGATCAAGATCAAATATTTTTGCATAATTGACTCCACCCTGAGCAAAAAACCATAAGTTGATTCCCCACAGCCAAACCATCAAAGCCTGAAATATAAAACAGAGATAAGACACGATGATACAAAAAATGGGGATGCAAACAAATGTACCATGCACCCACACAGAGTGACGTGCAAATGTACACAATGAGGGACACTGTGGGGGAGTGGGGGGGGGGGGACTAACCGCTAGAAGAAGAGGATTAAAATACAAAAATGCTTCATAAAGGAACAAATCCCGCTTGTCTGCACTCATTCTCATGACAGAATCCCATCCAATCTGCAAACTTCCAACATGGCAAATAATATTGTGGAAATATAATGAAATCCTTGAGAGCATAGCACACTATCTCAGTCTCACACCGTACACAGGAGTTGAGTAGAAATGTTGTACAGAGAAAATATTACTGACCTTGCAACAGATGAGGCCCCAAATGAGGAACAATAGTACCTAGACATCCTTCTCAATTAGATTCTTGAATAGATAAAGTAAAATGAAAAATAAAAGAAATAGAAAAGCAAAGAAGGAAAACGGTAGGAAACACACTATTGGGTCAAAGTCATATTTCAGCTCATTATGTAACTCTGGAATAAGTTAAGCAAATGTCATCGTCTGTACTCAAATAAATTATGTCAATCAACCACAAATTTTTCTCCCCAAGAGAATCAGATATAAAGCAGCTCCACCAGCATGAAAGAAAATTTTCATTCCCATCATTAAGTCAGAGCAAATTTTGCATTTATTAAAATGACAGCATCAAATACATTATTAATAAATAAATAAATAAAAACTTAAACTAAGTTTCCAACACTTTCTGGGAGGTAACGCAAAAACCTTGAATCTCCGCAACAAAATGGGCGACGGCATCATTGCAACAGCAGAAGCACTCACGGGTGTTGCACCAACCTTTGAATCACCTGCCTCCACGGGATGCAATAAACCCTCCTCACCGCCATTTTCGACCTCATGTTCATCTGAGAACAACACAAAACTAGAAGTTGTATGCGGTATTGATGGAACACCAAACCAATATAAGGAGAAAGTAACCCAAAAAATAGCAACAAATGCTGTTAAGGACTTATAAATAAAGTTACCAAGATCATAAACAACAGGTCTACTCCCAGACTTGCGCAAGTGCGGACTATTAGCAGGAACGTTAACACCTCCAAACATAGATGAAAACACAAACAACTACGCTCTTCTACCTATATCCCACCTCCAATTCCCCTAACACCTGTCAACGTACAAAATCTGAAAATTAATCAATCAATTATTTGCACGATTTCTGCATTTCACCAAATGCAAACTGAATTCAATGAAGAAATCAACACGGCTAGCCAGACGAAGCAAGCCTATGCTAACACAAGTTTATCTCTAACGATTCATGCGCGAGCTACATTGTGGAATTTCATGAATCACAAACGAAAGCGAAATTGCGGTTAAACGAAGAATGAATTAAGGTTGATCCAGAAAAGTGGAAAGACGAACCGAATCGAGCCGAGCCGAGCCGAGACGAGCTGAGCCGAATCGAATCGACTGGAATGGAGGCGTTAATTGGAGAATGAATTGATTTGTGTGTGCGATTGGCGTGGTTGTGTCGCTTGCTATCTCACATGGCGGAAAAGGGTTAAGACTTAAGAATGCGAGAGACCAACCAAAGACATCCAACAAACGCCAAGTATTTGAACCGTCACTGAAGAGGACCGCTGTTGCAATATTTTGAACTTTCGTAATAACAAAAACAATTGCTGTATAAATCACCTTGTACAATTTTCATCTCAACTTTGTAGATAAACATTCTGGGTGTATTAGTATTGGACTGGAATTTAAAAATATTCACATTATATAAAAATTAATAATTTATAACATATTTTTTTAAAAAAAATTATAACTTTTTTTGACTCATAAAAAAATTATAACTGAGATCATGTAGTTTAGACTTTAATGAATTTATATGAAGAAAATTTATTCGATTTGAGAGAATTTTATAAATTGATAAGATTTGAAAGAGTTTTATATGTTTTTAGTAAAAATTTAAAGTTAAAAGAGTTAATAATAATAATTATAATAATATTATAAATAATAATAAATTTTAGATAAAAAAAATAAAACTAATACTTTTTAATAGATAATAATATTCTTTTTCCAAATAACTAAAACCTTAGAAATGAATAACTACCACCTAGATGGTTTAATTTGTTACGAACATAAATATATTTGGTACTAATATATTTGGTACTAATTTTGTAAATAGCTCCAAAAAAAAATCTTTTAAATGTGTTTTGATTAAGTTGATTTGATTTAGATTCAAACATGAAAAAATTAATAATTTAAACCAATTTGAAGAATATATTTTATAAAGTCCGGTGTATATACACATTTTCTTTATATAAATATGTTTCTTTTATCTCTCTCTTTTCATTTTTGTCTTTTGTTTATACTTTTTATTTAGCAACTTGACTATTAAAATAATCTAATTCAACAATTAGATTACCTATAAACTAGTTATTTTTTATAATCTTTTATCCATGATTGATGATCCACAATTCATATTGACCTACTGAATATAATCTTAATTTACACAAATATATAATAATAAATTCTTCACAATAATCACGATGTGCACCTCTATAACACCATACCTAATATTCTAAAACTCCATATACATTATGTTGTGAAGAATTAAGATATAAAAAAAATTAATTTAATTTCAATTTCATGGTTAAATATAAAATCCAAAATTTATAAACAAAAAATAGTTATAAGTATCCTATTTAATTTTTATTTAACATAAATGCAATAATATTTTTTTCATTTTAAAATAATAATTCAATTTAAGATGATTTATTTTGAGGTTCATTTGGGTGGTCAAGGGGTGATAGAATTGAATTTGAAATGAAAAAATTAAGCTAAATTAGTATTATTTAAAATCAAACCGATCAAAGTTTAATATCCATTGTAACTATTTTTATAAAATCTTTTATCTTTATAAAAAAATTAAATTGCTAAATGATTAAAAAAATAACAATTAACTCAAATTATAATTGATAAGAAGAATTCCAATTTAATTTTCTAATGTTATATTCATTTCTTATCATTTAACATTATAAAATACTTTGTTGATAATCATATTATTGATATAAAATATTTATTAATTTTAATAGAGGTCGTGGAATCTCTCTTTTTAATTCCACTTTTTTTAATCTACAAATTGAAAGTAATGTTTAAAGCTACCACTCAAATTAAGGAATTTTAGTATTGTGATAGGATACAACTAAAACAAATAAACTTTTTATAAAGGTAAAACAAATAGACTTATGATCTTACTAACTTGGCCAAATATAAAATATAGCAAAATTTGAAAAATCTAAGAACAATAAACATGCTATGGAGTTATTATATAAACTAGGAGAAATAAACAAAAGGCTAGTCAAAATCAAAACTAAGAAGCCAAATATGGGAATGTGGTCTTCCATAAGCATAACTAGGCGAAGCCATTGGACACGGCATGTTCATCAAAGGCGAACCTTTACTTCTTCAACACTCCATATATTACGTTTTGTGTGGCTCAAAATTATGCTGCTCACGTATATAGTTTAAGATGTATTCTTTATATAATTTAATTTCTCAAAGTTTACTTCAAGTTGAAGAATTGCCTTAAGCCCTTAATTACGTGGGAAAGATGAATTAAGAAAAATCTTATGCGTTTAATAAACATGGTCTTTTCCCCCTTGTAAGATGGAATCACCACTATATCTCTCTCTATACATAGATATAGATGGAAAAGAAGATCATAGCTATAAATAATATATTGAGTTCTACCATAAAATAGAAAATATAATTATTGAGATAATATAAAAAAAAATTTATATAGAGTCTTTGGATACAAACTTAAAAATATTTTTAAGAAGTTCTTTATAAAAAACGATAAAATTAATACCACTATTTTATTTAAATTTTATAATAAAGTGATATCTAACTTAAAAAAAGTAACTTATTATAAGAAAATTTATATATAAAAAAAGGTTGGTACTTGCTAGATTGATCCACACCCATCTATCTTTAACCAATTTTTTTACAAGTCAAAATGGGACGAATCAAAATGAGTTGAAAATCTCAACTCTTCCCACCAAGAATATTAGGACCCTTTAAAATCGAATCGTTCCAAATGAAAAATCGTAACCAAATCTAAAAAATTGAAAACCAAATGAAAATCGCAAGTTAGCATTTTGGTTCGACTTTTAAATTTACAAAATTGTATGATTTGGTTTGATTTTTGGATTAAAATGTGAAACTATTTCAAATCAAATTAAACCACACTTATTTGTAAATATATATATATATTATATAGTACATGCATACAAAATTGACACATAAACATAAAAGTTATTTTATAAAATTGTAATCTACTAAAAAGTGTTTTTCTCTCCAAATATATGTTATAATATTTAAAAAGTATTTTTATAAAATTGTTAGTTATTAAATTAAATTTTAAAATAAAAAACTATGAATTATTTAAAACATTAAAAAAAATTAAGTGACAAACTATATACATAAAAAAAAATTAATATAGTATCTAAAATTGTATTAAGGACACATTTTTACTAAAATAATAAGATAGAAATTGGTGTTAAATACATTAAGTGATCAAGATATTTTAATATTTGTATATTTAAAATCTTATTTTTGATGTACAATCTTAAACAAATAAGATAATAATACATATTTTGAACAACAAATTGTAAAATTGTAAAAAGCCAACCAAACCAAACTTCAAAAGATTGGATTGGTTTGGTTTAATTTGAATTTCATAATTCATTCAAATAAAACTACATCAAATCACACTTAATTTTTTTTTTTTTTTTTTATAGTTTGAACAACTTTTTAGCTAAAAATCGAATAAAACTATACCACAAACACCCTTAAAAAATCATGAGTTAGATAAATTGACCGATTACATCTCATCCATTTTGTCACCCTTAGTTAATGATCTACGAGTGAGTTACTTGTTCAAACATCTTAGTTCCTTGGATTAGAAAGATTACTGAAAATAATAAAAATAATTAAATGTTAGTTTTCTATTTTTGTATATTTTTTAATTAAAAATGATAATTTGGTACCTAACTCAATAATTAAGTTACAATTTTTTCTCACTTAGTCAATCCAATTTTATTTATTTATTTATTCATCAGGTGACATTGACGAGCCCACCCAAACCCCTGCTTGCTGCTTACTCTCTTCATGTTTTTTATGCTTTTGTGGTATAATTTTGTTGGGTTTCCAGCTAATTAGTCTTAGAAGAATTGTAAAATAATATTAAAAAAATAGTCTCCATAATAATCAACATTTTAAAAACTAAATTTGCTATTAAACTAATGAAGATATTTCTTCAGAACTTATTTTAGCATCAAAACATATATCATACCAAATAAAAAGTAATAGTAAAAAAATCAAATAATAACGATCTACATATAAACCTTTATATTGATAATTGACATTTTTTTTAATTGGAAGTAAAATCGAACATATAACAGGGGCTAAATATATGTATGTGATTTTTCAATATATTTTTTTTTTCAAAAGACGAATATAAACATTTATTAGTTCTCATGTAAGGAAAATGTTAGAGATAAGAATTATGAAAAGAAAATTCTTTTATAATGATGCACTCAACTGAATTAAAACAATTATTTTCTAACAAAAGAGATTTTACTAGCCAAGCAAGTTACACACTTTACACCAAGTATAAAGAGTCACTTCAAGTTACAAAATATTCTAAAGTCATGTTCGACTACAAAACATTTTCAATGTTACTTTTAGTCAAATCATGCAAATTATCTTTAATTTACGATCAAAGTATTCTTTGATACTCAAATATCTTTTGGTTTACCTAAGATGTTAAATTTTTTTACAAAGGCAACTCTATCTGAGAGAATATGCAAGTTTAAATTCAATGCATGGTTACTTTTTAAGACAAGAATATATTATTCAGCTCATAAATGAACATTTAGTGGATGATTGACTTAAAAAAGTATAACAAATTGAGAGATTAAATTCACAAACTTTTTGCACAATTTTCACATGTTTGTTCTTATTGTCTTCTCTTCATACTGTCTTATATTTATAGTCCCTCTTGAAAATATATGCTAAGAGAATGGATTTTGTAAATATTTCCATTTTGACTTTAATAAACTCCTTATACAAGTCTTCGGGCTAAGATAATAAGGCATCTCTTACTCACACTTCCATGAATGTAGAGAGAGACAATCCTTGTTGTTGAAACTTTTATCTAACAAAGTTATCTTTGTTCTAATTTGGTATGTATCTTTATTTGCACTTTTTTTCTTTCTTTCTCTTATTAGACTATGCCTCAGTGTTTCTTATCCGATGTTGTACTTGTACATTAGGAAAATATATTTTCATCTAATGTAAGATATTTAAGATGGTTTATCAACCATAAAACGATTTTTCTTATGTTTCGAATTCATATGATAAAATGAAACACTTGAAGCATAAAACTTTGTTATTGTGAAAAGTTATAAGTGTTGAAATTGTTTTTCTTTGACACTTATATAAAAGCAATTAAATAACTTAGTACGTTGGACACGTGAGCCTTTATTATAAGTTAAAGAGTTTTTCTTTGACACTTGTATAAAAGCAATTAAATAACTTAGTACGTTGGACATGTGAGCCTTTATTATAAGTTAAAGAGTGTTTACTTAATGGATCTATATATAGACACATCTATAAGATATTTGTATAAAACATAAGCGTGATATGGACGAGTCTAGTATAAAGTAACATTCATATGTACCACTTTGTACGCTCCAAATGTTTTTGTGATAAGAGAGCGCGCACACACATGATTCTTGCATAAACCCATTGAAAATGTTGGTCCATCAAAATGTATAAGCTTATCATTATCAAAACTCGGAGCTTTTTAAGAGGCTAGATATTCTACACGTTTTGGTCCAACATGACTAACTTCTTTTGGTTGAATTAAAAAAGAAAAACAACAATTTCACGTCAAAATAATTTTTCAGAACCAATTTGGAGAGTAAATGATATTCCTAGCTAGTGATTGGTTGAACGAAATTGCCACAAAAATATACGTGTTTTATGAAGGAAAAGAAAATCACCCAAGCTTAAAAAATAAAAAACACTAGCGAACAAATAACACGTGGGTAAAGGTGAGCCACAAAGTGGAAATATATTACCATAAAAATCCGAAGCCTATGTGGAACTTGTGCCTCTGCATGACACACGAAATCGAAATCGAAATCAAAATCTGCTTCCTAGCTGTTTCCACATATATCTCACTAACATTGTGACTCAACAGTATTATTGCCGATATTATGTTTGTATTGTTTTACAGCTGAAGCACTGTCCGAGTAAATCTGCTGAATTATTTATACCCCAAACAATGGCTGAAATTTTCCTCCGCAACATTATCCACGTCAAGCAAAGAATCTATTTTCAGACTTTCCCTTCGGCCACGTGTCACACAACTCCTTAGTTCTAACAAACTTAACAAATAAACATCATGGTTAATATTAATAGTGACCTTGCTAGTTGCTACTATCTAATACCCCCCCTTCCCAATCTCCACATCCATTTCTTGCACATTCATTCACATTCATGAATTCAGGGTTTCTCGATCTTGGTTAATTTTCTGTACCAGTTGCATCAGGAGGGAAACTCACAATTTTGGTTTGGCAAGGGTAATGCTCATTCATTTTGTTTTGTGTTATGTTGTACTTATATTGTTGACATATCAATCACTAAATTAAACGAGTTGAGATAGTAGGCACAAAATTTTAATTCAAATTTTGTTGTTGTATTTGTAATCTTTTTTATCGATTAAAAGAAAAAAAGTTGACATATTTATGATGGGTAGGATAGTGTGGGTTAAAAATGTTAACGTAAATTGTTCTGCATGTTTGGCTTATTTTGTTTGCGTTTAATTTTGAAAAGGGTGTTTTGATTTCTTTGGTTGGAAATGGCAAAGGGTTAGGAGCAATGTGGTCTAAATTGAATGATTAGGATTTAGAATGGATAAATATAGTTAAGTTCCTTCTATGTTAGAGTTTAGCTGAGTTATCAGGAATTATCAGTGACATTGAAGAAGCATGGAACCTCTATGTGAGTTTTGTGGGCTTGTGAGAGCTGTGGTTTACTGCAAGTCAGATTCTGCTCGTCTCTGCTTGCATTGCGATGGCTGTGTACACTCTGCGAATTCTTTGTCTCGCAGGCATTCGCGTTCTCTCCTCTGTGATAAGTGCAATTCGCAGCCAGCGATGATCCGGTGCATGGATCATAAGTTGTCTTCTTGTCAAGGTTGTGACTGGAACCCAAATGATTGTGCTGTTTTGGGACATAGGCGCCTCGCATTGAATTGTTACACTGGTTGTCCCTCTTTGGCTGAGTTTTCTAGGATTTGGTCCATTGTGTTTGATGGCAATGCCGCATTTTGTGGTTGGGAATCACTTCGTAATTTGCCGAAGAGTGAAAGCTGCAATAGCCAGTGTTTGGAGCAACCTGATCATAATGGTGCTTCTGCTTCCTTTGGTTTGGTCAGTGAGAAATTGGATGAAATTGAATCTTGTGTTAGATATGAACCTTGGATGGGGCAATCTCAGATCATTCCCTCAAATCCAAATTACAACACTCCGTACTGCAAAGATCAAGCATTTTTCTTTCCTCAAGACTCAAACCAACCAAAGGTATTGCCTTCTACTGATATTTCATTTTGGCTAATTGTTATTACTTATTAGCAATATATAAGCATTGTTTTGAACTTTTAATGATATGACACCATTGGTTGGCATATAATTAGTGTGCTTCATTACTCCCTCATTTAAAAATATTTGTTATTTAAAGCCATTTCACGAGGATTAAGAAAACTCATAAACTGCCTCAATTATGAGAAGCATAATTTTACTTGACTCAATTATCCTCTGTGAAAATATCATCATTAAACTAATGCTCTCTTCCATCCCATTTGGTAAAGAACTGAAGATACTTAGAAATAAAGACAGTTGTATGAAAAAAAAATCATGTCTTAGTTTCTTAAAGTGACACTTCACTAAACAACAAATATTTTGAAATGTAATATTTCACAGGGAAAGAAGAACTATAATATTGAGAAAAGTGGTTAGAACTTGCATTGTGAGAATTAGTAAGCTCTTTTCATATTCCTAGCAATTATTTGTTGTCCTTCTTAACCAAAGCTGATACAAGTTTTTATTTTATTTATTTAATTATATATATTTTGTTGTACTTTTTAACTCAAATTAGTTGCAGGAATGTCCTAATCTTGGAATTCATAATGGGAATGAACTCTGCGAAGGTCTCAATGTGGACAACGTTCAATTGAACTTTGAAAGTGCTGATGAAATATTTGGCTGTTCACAAGCTGCCACAAGATACCAACTTGAAGAGGGGGGAATGGACTGTCTGTTGATGGATAAAAACATATCAGCCACAGAATCTAGTTCACTTATTGAGAGTGCCATGGAGGTTATCCCTCAAAATTAATTTTATTATTATCCTTCATAAATTTACTTATAGTATAAGGTTTACTAGTGATGTAAAAAACTAATTGTCATCCATATGATTGTTTTAGGCATCATCATCAATCCAACAAGATTGTGTGGCTTTTCAATCATCCAAGGCTGGTGGATCAGCTAGTTTGATGCAGGCTATCAACAGTAATACAAATTGTGCACTCATGAATCCTAGCTGCAGCAGAAACATCAGTCTGGGATTTCCTCAGGGTCAAGTTCATTCAAACATACCATTTCAATTGCCCAACATTGTTGGTGAAAATAGTTCTGCTGAATATCAAGACTGTGGGTTATCGCCAGTGTTTCTACCGGGTGAATCCCCTTGGGAATCAAATTTGGAGGGTACATGTCCACAAGCAAGGGATAAAGCAAAAATGAGATACAATGAGAAAAAGAAGACTCGAACGTAAGTACCTTTAATTCTATATATATATATATATATATATATTTTTTTTTTTTCTTGGTAAAAAAAAATGGAGATTTTTGTTTTAATTTGTTTAACTTTCATGACAAATATGCCCATTCAATTTGACATGCATGCACTAACATAGGTTTAAGTGAGTCGAAGTTCTATAAGTCTAGAACCATTTTGTTATTTTCTTTTTTCTTTATTTCTGCTGCATTACTATCAACTGCATATTGAAGTTTGTTTTCTTATTTGTGTTTTTAATGCTAATAACACCAGTGGAAAACACAAATAAGTGAATTTGCGAGCAAACACATATTTGGCATCTAAAGCATGTCCAAGGTTAAACAAACTATTTATAACATTTTATGGGAGAATGTGAATTATTTCAAATTTTTGGAGGATCAAGTGGAGAGATGCAACAGTTATGAAGTCATTTTCTGAACTAAGGAGGGGGCATATATCCTATATCATGTAACTCTACCAGATTATGTTCTCATGTTTCATTATGGTTCACTATTTGAAGATCATCTTGTCAGCTGTTCTGATCTCAAGCATTTAACGCTTGTTATAACATTTTAAAGAGTCTTTCTTTTGTGGCCGGGCTGGGTGAAGACTTCCAACAGATTTTTCTGATTTCTTATGTACAGGTTTGGTAAGCAAATAAGATATGCATCTCGCAAAGCAAGGGCTGATACAAGAAAACGTGTGAAAGGTAGATTTGTTAAAGCAGGTGAAGCATATGATTATGACCCTCTTGTGACAAGGGGCCTCTAAGCATTTATCTGGAATCTCTATCTTTTCCATAAAAGGTGGTTCTTCTGACATTGCTTTGTTGCCAATTCTTCATCAACACACTTTTGTTTTTGTGAAAGTGGGAGAGTTTTAATGCAGCTAGATAGTTATCCAAAACTTGACTACTTAGGTGATTGATTCAGATCTAGTAGAGATTTTAACATGTTAGTATTTAGAAGAAAAAGATATGGAGGTGTTGCAATTGGGAATTGCAGAGGAAGGGATTGGATGTATGCCACGATTTTGCATTAAATTATACATAGGAAGTGTAAGAGGTAACAGGCATGGGACATAGAGGAGCAGAACGTTTGAACAGATTTCAAATGGCATCACAGTCATTGTCAATTCAGACAAACACAGAGGGTAAGATAAGTATCACTTTACATATTAAACAATTTTTTTTTTTATGTTGCAAAGGGATTGAACTGAATACCCTTTCATACCTTCACTACTTAAGATTAATATCCAAGTGGATAAAATTTTTGGGTACCAAAGTCCTACTACATGCCTATAGTTCCCTTTTTTTATTTATTTATTTATTTATTTTTTACCATTTTTGCTTATGCTTTATGGCAAATAAGATTAGACTTTTTATTGCATAATAGTTAGCCTTAGAGATAGCGAATTTTTTTTAGTCTTGTAATCTTAATTTAAAGGTAATGTTTTTAAAACCATCTTTTATCTTTGTTGATGTTAAAATTTTATCATTAAATTATTTGCAGGCCAAAATATTCTTCCTTGCTTTCAGAAATGTGCATGGTGTGATCCATCCTCAATTTCAACAAGTGATATTGTGTGAGTCTCTAAGCCAGTGTGAACACAGTCTAGTGTAAAGAATAAAAGGGAAATTGGTGTTTGGGAACTGGAAAACAACTATGGCCAACCTCACATTTCTGCTTTCAATTTGGTCCTTCCTCATAAGGATGAGCCTTAGAACAGCAACACCGTCTTTTGGAAACTCTTCATTTATTCCAATTTGATCAGATAAGTGAGCATAGTCAACTGTGGATTGAGGCACTATTGTTCTTGACTTGCACAACTAGGTAAGTGAGCTTAGCCAGATTCACCTCCAGTAACTATCTGCATCTTTGACAACCTTTCTGTTGCCTCAAAAATTTCATTTGTTGTATTGCTCTATCTTGGGGGATGGTAGCTATTTCTTTAATAATTGTACAAACATTGCGTACAAACTTGCCCGATTTTAAGGGACGTTTGTTTCTCCATTGAAATAATATGACATATTTATGATTGTTTTCTTGTTTTGCACATATTCATTTCAGCAATTACCATCAATGATTCTCCATAATTCTTCTATTATTCATTAAATTCCGTATTGGTTATCAGAAAGAAACAGTTGCCTTTACTACCGAGTTGTTTAAGTATTTAACTAAACGATGGGGCAAAATTGTGGTCATTTGACATGACAGAGTTTGTAGTATCAATTCGGCATGTTTACCATGAACACCTGTGAGATGCGACTTTGATCATCAAATATTGAAATAGGAAAATATTGTATTAGGTTTGTGGTGCAATTGCTAAAGCATTGTAGCCTGGCTTTTTCTTTTGACAAGGAATAAAATCTAATGTATATGAGCTGTTTCGATGATATGCCTTAAATAGAGTATATAATGAAAAATGCTTTTTACTTTACAAGTTAGTTTTTTAAGCTTGAGTTAAATTTAAATCTATATTGTACTACTACTGGGGAAGTAGGTAGTCGCTATAAAGATCAATTGCGCAACAATCATGTGTTCAAATGTTCAATCGTACGTTAAGTTGTCATACTGTACACGAGAATCTTGAATTCATCTACATTTTAGATACTCAAATATTTTATGTCACTTGTCTCCTAGTATTTGTTCCTTCATATTTTGTAATCTTACAAGGTGGAATCATTGCAAGAATCTGGCAAGTTAGGCAAGAAAGAAAAAAATGGAAGAAAAAAAAAAGAGGAAAGGGATGAATAAGATGTCTAGGGTTGATGTTTCATGTGTCAAGGTACTTAGGTTGCCAAATTCTTGGATTGTTTATGTTATATGACACTGCCAAGTGTTCGGCTGTTGCTTACCACAAACTAGTATGTACCCGTGCACTTGCACAGTCGTATTCATCTTTATATTTTATTAAAATGATATGTATATATTAATAAATTAATAACTTTATTTATATAATTCATGATTAATATCTATTGACCTATATATTGACATAATTTTATGCAAATAATTTGTTATTTTTTATAAATATTTTATAGTAAATATATGTCATTTTTTAAATCACTAAAGTACTTGTGCTTCAAACAAAAATATAAATAAATATAAATTATAAAGTGTCAAATAAAAAAGTGTCTACTTTAGATAAATTTAGGTTACAACATGTGTAAAAGCGTGTCTATAAAAAAAAGCAAGATGTCCAACGGAAAAATGTTAAAGTTGTCGTAGTTTGAGTGCATAAAACATTTTGTTAATTGTTCAAAAAAATAAATAACATTTTGTTAATTTTTATAAGTTAGTGTAAAATATTTTTAATTAATTAAAAATCATCTTAAATATAATATTTAAGTTCGATTTTGTAACAATTCATAATTTTAATTCAATCGCTAAATATTCGTTATTAAAAGTTAAAATTAAAATAATGATCATCTTAATATTAGATGATAATTACTATTTAATAATATTTAAGTTAAATTACATTCTTAATCCTAATTTTAGTAATTAATTTTTTTTTGAAAATTAAATTAATCACTTTTAAGTAAAATCTCTCTTTTCAATTATGTTTTTTCCTTTCATAGAACTCGAATATAAAAATAAGAGACCAAATCCAGTTAATTCCAACCAATAATTTCTTAGTTTTCATGTATATTATTTAGTCTTTGTAGGTGATAGGTAAGATTGCAAAAAGCTAAAGAATGAAGTACTGGTTCTGTTCTTTTGTATAAGACTCTTTATTTGATTGTTAATTTGTTCGTTTCTATAAGACACATTTTTTAAACTTTAACTAATTTATTAAGAAACAATCCAGTGGAACTTTGAAATAAAGTTCCAATTAATGGATACGATCTTATATATAAGCTATTATTAACAACATAAAGTGAAAAAAAAAATAGCAGACAAAGGAGAACGGAGTACAGCAGGAGAGTTAGCAAGAACAGAAGAACGTGGGAAAAGAAGGAGACAGAGTTGCAGAGCTGAAAAAGAGTGAGTATGAAATTTAGATTGGAAAAAATTGTTAGGAGAGATTGACACGTTTCCCATATATAAATGTTTTAATATATATTAAATTAAAAGTAAAAAGATTGCTATGAAGTTTGTCACTGATATAATATTCCCTTATTTTAAGGCTGGTATAAAATACAAATTATGACCTGATTCATCCATGTTTGAGAGATTATGCTTACAACTATAGCAGGTTACTCCGAGTAGTTAAATTAAGCATATAATTCATGAAATTAGCAATAATTACAGTATGAGATACCAGGAACTACCATGACATATTGTGAGATATATCATTGTATATCTGCAAACATAGGGTAACTTATTGATGCCAGAAATTTGATAACCATATCATTTTTCTTCTAATATAAAAGATTACAACGATGATAATAACGATGCAACTTAAGTCCTCTCGTGTATCTACGGATTCAAGTATAGAAGTTAAATTTAAATTAACTCCATCTATCAGAAATCAAAGAAATAAAAAACATTGAACAAGCCTTCCTTCTATTGAATACAGACGCAACCTTTTTATCCCTTGAATCATGATATTAAAGACATTTAGCACTTCCCCTTATGCCTGAGATGGAGCTCACTATTCTTTCTAACACAGAAGATCATCTAAGGAGAGAAAAAGAAAAAAAGATGAAAGTTAAAACAACAGGGAAGGTTTATTAGGCATTCTTGAAATCTTTCTGAAGGTTCCTCTGTTGTTAGGAAGATTTCCTATGGTCCAGTTTATATTGGAAGGAAGAACAACCTCTAACGATGCTCCAATTAGATATCTTCTCGTAAGATTCTGACATGTGTTACACAGAAAACACCTTATGTGCCTAAGGGCCAAAAAATTAGCTCCATGAACCCTTTTATCACATTTTCTACACAAATATGCATCATCAGCTTGGCAATACAATGAAGCCTCTAATCCACATAGCTCACAACATGTAGAGCCTCTTGTTGCACCCTCTTTGTGTAAGAAGCTTCTGCAGAAACCATGTTTCTTTTCTCCTTCTGCACCTTTACACATGTTTAGAAACTCTTGTGATAATAATAATAATAATAATCAAGCTTGATACTGAGTAGTTTCTTGAATAAATGGGGTAGATGAATAGAAGGGCATTTTATAACACAAGTTATCATTCTATGGTTGGGTTCTAATAGACAAGGACATGGGTGCCACTTCTTCACGTAATCACACGTGTCTAAATTTTAACCCATTTGTTTCTTTCCAATCTTGCCAAAAGGTCAATTTGGTAATTAAAGAGTGGGGGAAGAATTTGTGATTCCACTAGCTTTGACAAAAGGAGTGGAGAAAATAAAATTAAAAGAAAAAGAAAGGTAGGCTAATGTATGATTAAGAATTAAGGTTCATTAGATGTTTGGAGGGTTATTATGAGCCATAATTTTGTGTTGTTGAGTGGTTACCAAGGCAATTGAGGAGCTAAGAAGCAAGGTTTGTATGGTCTAGAATTAGCTTCTTTAAATTTGTGACACACCAAAGCCCATTTGATGCACCAAATGTCACTTGAATATGGAAGCTGTTGGTATTGGTTGAGATTTGAGAAGTCGTGTGGTTTTGTTATGTTTTTTTTTTTTTTTTTTGTCTCTCACGGTTGGACCAAAAACATTAATCTAGTGTACTTTTGCAAGGCACGAGAACAATTAAAGACGTCCCTGTCCACACATTGTTCTTGAGGTTGACACACGAGTCCACATGTATGGTTGAAACAAGAGGAGCATCAAATGGCCCATTACTCGTCACGAATGTGAGTTGGTGATTCCAAAGAAACATAAAAGTTGATGGACAAGGAAGAATGGAAGATGATTGGTTTTTGGTGACTTGGGAAAAGTTTTGCTGTGAATTATAACCGTTCAATCGGAGATAACAGACAACCACTAAAGAGCCAATAGGATTAAATATCATGTAACGACATTATCATACAAATACAATAGTTTGTGTCTATTAATTAATTAAGATGTACAATTGTGGATTTAAGTATAACATAAACTATATTGAAAGATGTATGTTTACGATTTTAGAATCGGTCACTGTCAAAATATTTTATATCAATATTATAATTATAAAAAATATGAAGTAATCAAATTCAATTTATTTGTAAAAACTGATTTGTTTTAGATTTGGTACAGTTGGAAGGGAAGGAAATTTTTGTTTTGGAGCAACGCAAAATAGTGACCGAATGCAATAATTGTAAGGCCTAGCATAAAAAAAAACAAAATACATAATTGAATTATATTGATTTTCAGAATCAAATCCAATCCAATAATTTTTTTTTTTTGGTTTTTTCTGGTTTTAATTTGTCTAGATTACTTGAATTTTTTATTATTAGATTGAATAAGTTTATGAACAACGTAGAATTGGTTGTCATGAAAATGAAACTCTTTGTAATGCGTGGAAAAATCTAAAAAAAACTTGAGAGAATGAAGTATAACAACAACTATTAATTAAAAAAAATTAATTATTGACACTATAATTAATTTTGCAAGAATTTGAATTTATACAATTCTCAATCGTTAATTATTTTTTATCAATAATTGTGAATACTTTTTACCCTCCAAAATTCACTTGTTTAGTTTATAAAAGCCAAATCCATATTTATATTATATATAAAAAAAACTTGCAATTTTGGTGTTCACTTTTTTTTAATCTCATTTTATTAATACAATTATTTAAAACCGTTCATTTTCTTTAATTGCTAATCGTTTACTTGTATTTAATTTTAATTATTTTTAAAACAAAATACACAAAGATACAATTTTTTTACGCTAACAATAATAATAATTTTTCCAAAGATAAGCATAGTTTTTTAAAAGAAAAACATTCTTCTAGAATCATTGGCCCTAAGTGGTAAGCAACCTGCGAGCTCTGGTGAATTAACAGTGCGTTTGGACTCTGGACACAGCTTCGGAAGGAAAAAAAGTCCAAATGGTGAAAACGTTAAAACTATAATATATAGTTTTATAAAAGACGTGAAAAACCATGTTGAAAAGGGGAACACAAACAT